TTTATTGATTTTTAATATTTCGATATAATTGACATCTGTAAATAGTTTCAAATTCAATTCTCATTCGTTACACGTCATCTGATTTTCACCTTTGATAAGCAGCCACTTCTTGATGTAGATTTATACTACGACGTGATTACTGAATAATATTGAAAAAGTTAAACGAAAGTAAGTCTATCGGTAAGATTAATTGCGGTTTCCTGCGGAGATGATCTTTAAGTTAAACGCTTCAACGTAAAGTGGTGAACTATAAATTTCAGGTATCATAAATAGACGAGATATCAATAAAAATACAATTGAGCTCAAACAGAAAGAATTTAAATGCATTCGAGAATAGTTAATAACTTCTATGCAACGATAACAAAGAGGAGCCCAAGTAAACTGACATAATGTATGAACTTGGCGGGAAAATTTCTCGTCAAATATACGTTTGATACGTTCAAGAAAGCGAATGGAAAGTTATAGCAATCTACTTTTAGACTTTATCCCCGTGATTAATCAACCCTTAGCTAATAATCCTACTGACAATCATACTGACGTAGTTGTAAGGTCAAACGCTTGATCCCAGATAATGAGAGATCGTTTTCGAACAATGCAACCTCACGTATTGATGCTATAATTGGTTCCAATTTAATAAGCGATCCGCAACTACACATGCAAGAGCTCCACGTTACAAATAAACGCAGTTCTCGCGTTCGTGTACTTTTCGTGCGTGCTTGCACAATTTTTTTTTCTCTCGTAAAGTTGCTAATTGCAAGTCGGATATAGAGGAAGGTCCTCTATTGTGAGACAAGTTTCCAATATGAGATCTGTTTGGTTCCACCATGTATTTATTGCTCGTGAAATCTGTTTAGTAGAAAATTCATCGTTGGATCGTGTAATCGTCGCGAATAAAGATTTGTGATTGAATTTGAATGTTGAAAACCTGTGATCTCACATTAGAAGCCTATCTCGTAATAGGAAACTTTTCTCCACGTGAGAAAAAACCCGACGAAACTGCTACCCTTTCTTTTCCTCACCGAGCGTCAATGTTCTGTTCGGTCAAGAGAACAGAAACGTACATATTTTAAGTAATTATTCTTACTATTACCTAAGGGGATTTCCAGCGTTACATAAGACGCTAAAATAATAAAATATATGTCGTATGCATGTTTAAATACTGTGACGGCACTTAAAATCTTGAGGCACAAGACTGACTCAAAGAGAATTATATTTTACGACTTATTGTAATTGCAAATTCTCTTTCATAGCCAACGTATGGTTCTGGTATGGTGATTTTGTAGAGGACGTAAAAGGGGAAAAACAAACGCGCGATGATTTTGGATAATCTATGCGTGGACCAGGAGAACTGGTCAATTTGAACGGCAACGAGACTGTCGTCCGATGTCAATTGACTTAAGCTGGTTTGGCGAGTAGGCGTCGAAATTTATTCCTAGAAACACTTGCGCGAATTGAAGCGAATCAATCGTTTCGCCGATCCTTCGCCAGACGCCTCGCCTCCTATCTTATTTTCCTCCGTTTGCTTTTCTTTTTATTTGCTCTCTCCCGGCGACGTCTAGGAGAGCGCGTTAATCTGAGCGTGATAAGAGAAGTACAAGCCGAGTGTAATCGGCCGTGAAGTTTTGTAACATCGACCGAGAGGAAATGAGAGGAAAAAAGGAGGAGGAGGAGGAGTCTCGTTTGTTCTGTGTGACGCTCTCTCTTGGCGAGGCCGTAATTGCTAACATAATACGTAGAAGCTGCGATGTGTTCGCGCACATAAACGGATATAACAAATGTCAGACCGATACTCGGATATAAGACTGATAATCGAATCTCTAGACATGAAAGAATGTTGTTTTTCCAAGCAAGTTTTAACAGCTTTCGGATACTGAGAACATTGTCGTGTACAGATACGCGGCATTACGGGGCATTACTAGGTATTTTTAGGCATTAGTTCGGGCATTAGGCCTCGCTGGGGCATCATAAAGATAAAATAAATAAGATAGTAAGATAAAGTAATGCCCACCAGGGGCGTTTTATCTGCCCCATTAGTGGGCATTATAGTGTACAAGATTTTGGTCAGCGGTTTCCCTCTCGGTGTTTCTGGAGCCACTTACCAAGTAAGCTTACAATTACCAAAGCTGTTACAATGTAGCATTGTAAAGTCTGTTGCTCGAGCAGATACTTGGAGTTAAATCTTCGGAACTTGGAAAATTATAAAGGGAGAAAGGGCGAAATGGTGCGTTAAATTGAATCTTTGTTGAGTAAAATACAAGTCGACTGCAAGTTTCTGCAAGGGAATTGATCTCTCTCGTAGCACGTTGCGAGACACGGCGTTTAGGAAATTTTATCCCGGTAGTAGAACCCTCGAAGTTTATGTAAGCAACTACGTTATTGATTATATGCGCCTAGGTATGACTCACGGTCATCTAAACCATCGGTGATAAACTATGACGATGAATACTCGTCCAGCGGTCCCTTTGAAACAATGTCCCGTCATTCCTCGCTAATGTGCTTAACTTTATTGCAGCCGGCGCATGATTCGTGTAAAGGGTTGCCCGCTGCGGTCAAGTAGAGCCGATTGCATTTAGACTGTAGACAACTCATTTGAAGCTGATTAGATAAAGCGAGATAAAGTTCTGATTCGCATAACAGTCGATTAGGATCGTTTCCTCGAGGCAATCTTTAAATAGCAAACGTCCGGCGACCGCATACTCGTATACAATAATTTATAGGGCATGAATGAGGGAATCGTTTATCCTAATTTTAACCGAGGTCCCCCTTTCGACCCCCGTCGTCGAAATGCTCCATCTTTTACTCAATTACAATCCCCAGGTTTACTAAGTACATTGAAAACTGTAATGCGTTGCACTCACTATTTCGGTCACGTTTTTATCTTGTATTATAAAAGTAAATATATGTAAGAGCTCAAAAAATATCTGCCTGATGATAACGGTGATACCGATAACACGTAATGTAAAATGCAGATTAGCGTTAAAATATCATCCCAAGCGGCTCTTCTCACTATATCATCACTGACATTATTTCGAGCTCGTGGAATATTACCTGAAGCTTTGCGTGTACTCCGTACGACAACTCTCAACGTTTTTTTTTCCACGGATCTTCGTCACGACACTTGAACACACCGAATTACGCGCACGAGCGCACCATCCGACGTCTTACTCGTTGCATCTCTGTGCCGTTAATTGACGGTCGTCGATCAATTAACAATGACCAATTTTTTTATCTTCTCACGTCGACTTTGATCAAGTGCGGCATATAGGTAGATTGTGCCCCGACGTGAAATATTACGAGACTTCTATGCTTAGTAATTCGTACGGATTCATGTTAATTGTTAACAAAGGTGAGCAACAAGCTGCAGTCATTACGCACGAGCGGCGTTTGCACGTACCTTACGTACAACCGATCTAATGACTCATCTTCATTGAGTGTTGCGCAAAGCTCGACAGTTCTATTGCAAAGTGACGAAACTTGTCGAGAAATTTACGCAAAGCTCCTGTGAACTCTGCCGACCGCTGGAAATGAAACTGATGTCACGCTTGAATATAAAAGGAAAAATATATTGTTTTCTCAACGAACTTATTTCTCTTTGCCGATAAGTTACAGAATGACAGTTGGCCTTTCTTTCAAGAATTGAATTACGGTTTTCGAAACACCGTCCACTCGGCAACAAATGTCACAAAGACATCTGGGAGATATCTAAATATTACAATATCTGATACAAAAGCTATTTCGATATCTGAGAGATGTCTTCCAGATTCTAAAAAGTCATGATTATTTCATCTGAGATATGATATCTGATTTTATATACAATATTAGGTACCTATATTTTAGTAAAATCGGATTTTACATATTGCAGAATAGGTAATGTCATCAATAATATATATGTTTTCTTTATTAGTTCCGGTATAAATTATATAAGAAACACGGCCTCCATAAATCAGCTTTTACTTGTTTATACTGTCATTGTAAACTCATATTTATCTTTTTGATTTGTGTTGTATTGTTTTTTTCTAGATAAATTTGGAAAACTTATTTTGAGAGAAAGTTAAATTAAAAAGTTAAATATTTACAAATAAAACAAATAATAAAAATTAAAATATAAACAATAATTTTTTAAAGATATATCAGAGATGTGATATCTTTGAAGTACGGGATATCTCAAATATAATCGGTGAAATGATGTCTGATTTAAGTCTCGGATATATTTTGCTGTCTGGGTGAATTTAAGTTTAAATCAAAAGGATTGGGAGATAAGAATTCATTTACCTTAAAATAATCGCATATACGTATACAATGTACATGTATAAAACAATAGTAAACAATATTTGAAGAGCGGCAAAGTTATTTGTTGAAGCGCAAAACTTTTGTGACGTCCGCACACAGCTTTTATATATTGTTAATATTTTATTTAGCGACGTTTCCGTTGATAGCTCGCAGCTCAATTAACCCGCGTCACAATCTTTTTTGGCGTAACCCTCACCTCGGCATTGGTCCCGCGATTCGTCCTTCGGTTATTTCCGTGAAAATTTGGCAGAGTATCTGCTAAGTAATACACATTAGCAGTTACAGGACATGCTCTTTGCGAATATCTCGGGAGCATCAATTAACGGTGTCGCAGCGTCTTTATTCAATTATCACGACAACTTTTAGGGAACATGTGTATTCTAGCGCTACAAAACACAGCATAACGTTATATAATATATTTGCAATGCTTTTAGGAACATTCGCCCCTTAAACGTAATAATACAGTTGATTTTGCCAGTGGAATTTTCCACGAATAGGGAGTCACTGAAACTATTCGAATTTTAATTTAAAGCTTTGGGTTGCGCGGACAGTTGCGGCAAATCGTGCCCTGTCGTACTTTTAGAAATAACTTTCACACAGAAATAGAGACTTCCGATTCGTGATTAAAATTAGGAGTACAGATTTCGTGTATTACGCAATACTTCGTCTGTCTCGCCTTCATTGACAGTCATTTCTTTTCTTTCTTCCAGACCGATTTGGGAAGCGTCACATGGTGACTTTCATGATATTCCTTGGTATGGCTAATGCCTACATAATGAGGACCAATATGTCTGTGGCTATTGTCGCGATGGTCAATCATACTGCTATCATGAGCAACGACGAGGTGATGGAAGCCGTGGGCGAATGCGGAGAAAATATGAACGATACTAACGTTGCCGAGCGCGTAAGTACACAGAAATTCTACGGTTCTTTTTTTTCGGAGGGGGATTGTGAGAGTTTACAGGAGCTGAAAGATGTATGTCCTCTTTGCAGAGCGATGGGCCATTTGATTGGGACAACAAGCAGCAAGGCTACCTCTTAAGTTCATTTTTCTGGGGCTACGTGATAACGCAGATACCGTTCGGTATACTCGCCAAACGTTACGGTGCCAAATACTTCCTCGGGATCGGCATGCTGATTAATTCTCTCTTCGGACTGCTGGTCCCGGTATCCGCGTTCTGGGGATATTGGCCGTTGATAATCGTTCGTTTTATTCAGGGCTTAGGAGAGGTAAGTAACGTCTCGAAAATTTCTTATCGCGATACAATATAATAGTTTGATTGAGACTCGAGAAGAACGAGCGAAGATGAGAATGTGTGCGATGTTTCGGGATCGGTTATCTGTTGTCCAAATACATAGTTTGATACTTGCAAGCAACTTTCATTCGTTCGTAAGTATAAACGTTCACGCACTCACCTTGGAAAAAGATTTGATAAAGAGATATATTTATTACAAATTCATTATTATTTGCCTTTTATTTTAGTTGTTGTTTTCTCCATTATGCATTGTCTTGGAAAAGTCTTTGATTGATAAGACAAGAGTCTGTGTACTCGCAGAGACAAATTTCTTACATTAACCTTAGCATTATTATTACATTAACATATAATAATATAAGTAATTGTAGTCATAAGCTTAAAGGATTACTGATCCGTTTGAGTGTGAACGTTTTTTGATTGCACGGGTGTATTTCCTTCCCCCTAGGAATGGATTAATCCCTATTGCAGGGTCCTATTGTGCCTTGCACGCACGCACTGCTGGCGAAGTGGATACCACCGAACGAACGGAGCAGGATGGGTGCCTTTGTCTATGCTGGTAAGCTCGTTCAATGCGATTTCTTCCTCCCTTATGTAGCGGTTTATCGCGTATACCAAGTCGAGAGCTAGTTTGCCGCGAGAATCCTCTCTGGGACATTTCGAGTCTGCATCGAGTCGCTACTGTGTGTACGCGTGCTTCTTGTTGCGGCAGGATTTCTGGACCGTGGACCGTGGACCTTTTCAATTTCTTGAGTTATCTTCTTTTTTAACCATTCACTCCCATGAGGTCTTTTCTCGTGGTAAAAAAAAAGAAAGAACACAAGGAGGGCTGGACGCCTGATGACGACTACTAATCACATTTTTTTTTGCATGTGTCTCTCTTACCACCGATAGGTGCACAGTTTGGTACGATAATATCCATGCCGTTGAGTGGTCTATTGGCCAAATGGGAATTAGTAGGCGGCTGGCCGTCTATTTTCTACGTGTTTGGTGCTATCGGTATTGTCTGGTGCATAGCGTTTCTTATATGGGTTTATGAGGATCCCGAGCAACATCCAAGCATCACAGAAGACGAGAAGAAGCTCATACTCAGCTCTCTCTGGGGTAGCGCCGGCATATCTGTGAGTTCCTTTTGCATTAAATATTTATCTTTCACCTCTCTTATAATAACAGATCTCTGATAATAACAGATAATAGCAGATAATAACAGAAAGCTGAAGAAACTAATTTTCTTCTTTTAGTCATCGCCCCCTGTGCCATGGAAGTCCATTGTAACTTCGCTATCGTTTTGGGCTATTTTGGTGGCGCACATGGGTCAGAATTATGGATACGAAACATTGATGACTCAGCTTCCAACATTTATGAAACAGATTCTCCATTTCCCTATCGAGCAGGTGAGTAATATTATTGATGAGTAATACATTTAAATTATAGGGTAGGGAGCTTTTCCACAGTTTTCCCGCACGGAACTAATCGTTTCTCTGTATTTCAGAATGGTATCTATTCAGCACTTCCATACTTGGCCATGTGGCTCTTTTCCATGTTTATCTCTCACGTCGCCGATTGGATGATCTCTTCGGGGAAATTAACTCACACTGCGACTCGCAAGATCGTTAATAGCATCGGCCAGTTTGCACCGGCCATTGCATTGATTGCTGCTTCGTATACCGGTTGTAATGCCATGTTGACAGTAGGCATTATTACATTGGGAGTCGGTCTAAATGGCGCTATTTATTCCGGTTTTAAAGTAAACCACCTCGATATCTCTCCGAGGTTCGCAGGGATCTTAATGTCCTTCACAAATTGTATCGCCAATCTCGCGGGGCTCCTCGCGCCGATTACTGTTGGAGAGGTTATTGCTAAATCGGTAAATATATGTATAATTAGTCTTTTACAACGCTAAGTGATTAAGTAATTGAAGTAATTGAAATATATAATGATATCTGTGTGATGCTATTATTTTCAGCCATCGCAAGCAAAATGGAGGATTGTGTTTATGATCTGCGCTGGTATTTATTTGTTCTGCGCAACATTCTACGCAATTTTCGGTTCTGGTGAAAGGCAAACGTGGGACAATCCAGATAAGGACGACGACAAGAACGAAAAGAATCAACTGGACGGTGTTAGAAGCGTGAACGAGACTCAACATTGACAAGTGCATATTTTATCGATGAGAGTCAGTGGTGATGCGAAGAAATTAACACTGACGACGTGACAATTGTGTCCACTTGGCCATTTCTGTTTTTGCACATTCATTCCCTCCCTATTATTTAGCCGTTCGAAACAAACGAGTACATTAAGACATTTAAGTTAATCTCAGAATTGTATTTTTCTTTTTTCTTTTTTTACCGTAATGATACAAAATTTTTCATGATAATTGTCACAATTCGCGTTGTAAGTATCTCTTCATACTTTTGCACTTGCAAAAGTTCATCAGTTACTTTAATGTTATATCGTGAGTTTCGCGTGAAAGACAATTTGTATGTGTGTAAGAAAGAAAGGAAGAGTGAGAAAGAGAAGAAGATAAAGGTATGTTTAGAATATACTCATAACTAAGCTACTGGTATAAGATTCGAATTGCGTCATTTATTGTATTTTATAATTTATAAATTTTTACATAATAATCTCGCGTATTATGTAGAATTAGAAAGTCGCACTTTAAGAACTGGTATGTTAGAGAAACGATGGGAGAGATGATTCTCAAAAGAATTTAAAAAATGAAAACTATAACTTGTAGATAAGCGAATTTCCATGAACTTGCCGGAGACGTCATGACAACAAATCAAAGCGAGTATAATTTTAACGAGATTACAAAACCCATTTACATCATTGTTTCATAATTGTATATCGAAATTATCTAAACAATTAAGATATTCGAGTTGAAGATGAATGAAGTTGTATATCGCTGTTGCTTAAACAAATGAGAGAAATCAAGTTTTTTAAGCGCGATGTTAAACTCATTTGTATAACACCGTTATTTATGTAACATTAGTTTTGACAGAATCAATATCTAGTATATCGCTGTGTAAATTTTGACTTACACAGTGAACTGTCCATTAATTCAGACATCTCTACAGGTGTTCCACATTCGAGTAAAACTTATATTAATCTCGATCTTCCTACTTTGTACAGCACATTAGCCGCTTTGCTATTTTTGTAAAATGGAATATATGTCTGTGCTAAGATTCGTACGAGAGATTTGATTAGATTCACAACGATCAAGCCGGAGAAGGAACTGTCGTTGTTTCCCCAACGCTTATCTTCAAGGATTGTAGATTTCGTGTTTGTAACCTGACAAACTTATGGTAGCAGTATTAGAGCAAAGATCCTCATCGTTCAGCTTCCTTTACATACATCACTTTTTATTGTAATTACTGCCATTTTGTATTGCATGTGTTACCTGGATGAAATGGGTGATAGTAACGACAAATCCCAGTCTTGCCGTTAGGCGAGGGAGAGACCCAGGGCCTGTTCTTAATGTAGAAATTGCGAACAGCACAATGTGTACAAAAATGGTGTTTATACATATTGTAGATATTTGCGCGTCAGAACTCTCTTAAGTAATAGAGTTACTGCTCGTAGTTATTTATATAGCGTTTACAGAAAACAAGAATCATTACCTCCAGCCTAAGATAGAAATCGTCAAACTGAATGGTTTTGCACTTGTATAGTAGAATGCATTTTTTTTTTCATAATCGTAAGTCTCTTTTTTTCATAAGCTGCACAACCAAACAATTGACGACAATTGTAATTTCTTTTTCTTAAATACGGCCTCAAATACTGAGGCCCCATATTCGCTGTAATTCATCGAATGTAATTGATTAATAACTATTTGATGAAATACGTAATCGCGCAAAGCGCTCGCGAGAATAAGTCTGAAATGATCAAATTGTCTGAAAACGAAATGAATTATTAAATAACATGTATCAAAAATATTTGTTGATTTATTCATCTTGCGATTTTATATGAAAACTTTGAAAATATGTTTAGGTAGCGGCGTACATAAATTGTTAGCAAAAGGGGTGAAAATCGATGCGAGCGTCCTGTGATCGTGTATGTACAAGTGCCTTCGACAAGTAGCGTTTGTTTTTCTTTTTATAAATAATGTACTCTTAAAATTTCTAAAATTCTCGCATTACTGTAACGTGAAAAAAAGCCAAAGTGTTCGTGAATATCATTTTGAACTTTCATGAGTATACAAATTTCTACTTGCAAATTTGGGAGGACGTCAATCAAAATTTACTCTGTAATGTAACGCGATTGATATAATAATCATGAATGTAAATCGATTTGAAAGCAAATTCGACGGAAGATATAACAAGGAGTAGTTACCCATTGCTTAGATGATAAAGTAATTTAATGCAAAATTGCGCAAACCCATATTTTTATATAAATTATTTATACATAATGTACATAGGACGATACACGATGTTAAGCGTTAAACATATTTTTATTGTTGGGATTGTAAAACATATGTGATAATAGTACAGCAAGTGAATAAAATAAGATACAGTCATCATAAATTGTTAGTTATTTATTATTATAATTTATTAATGCTGTTTTCTTTATGACAAACTCTTAATATCTTTTGTGAACAAAATATTAATCATTAAAAACTTATCCTTTTAATGAAAAACGTAGAAAAAGTCGCCAAATACATGCAGTATGAAAAACTGTTGTGTATTGAGAAAATCTATTATACAAAATTGTTTTAATATCCAATCAAAAACAAAAATAATTATGCATTGCAACATAAATGGTGCTTGTGCGTGTGTGTTTTATTTAAAGATGTATACATATATTTTTCAATATTTTTCATATATGTGTGACACCTACATTTCTTACACTTGTAAGATTTTCATGATACATATATACATTTATTTACATTTTTCATACTTGTCAGGACAAACCAAAAGTCGATTTTATTTCTAAAAGGTTCGTAATAATGCGACATAGATGAATAATCGCCCTTCTTCAGTGAAAATTGCATACAACAGTGCATTGTGACATCTTATATTTACATACATTTATTTAAACATCATTGTACTACATCATTGCACTTTCTTTAGTACACATCAATATACATTATTATTTCAAATGTTTTTCTTCAGTACACTAGTACACATTATTATTTTAAATATTTTTCTTATGTTTACTTACCGACAAAAAATAAATGTTGATTTAAATATAATGTTCAATATTTATAGTTTCTTTTAACTTTTACAGTTTATTAACATCCTTTGCATGTATGGCATTCTTTTTCATTTTCTTCATACGTTTCCTAATTTATATTTATCCAGTTGTATTATTTAATTATGTTATATTCATCAATTTTTAAGTAGTTTATAAAAAATTAATGCGATAAAATATAAAATTAATCATATTTTACAATTGCTATATATTACCATTATGCATATATATCCATCTTTTTTTTCAAATATTGTTTCATTATATTCATTTCATACTCGTCTATATTTTAAATGTTATTCGAGTGTGTACTTACCGACAAAATTTTAAGTGATTCCGTAAATCTAATCCTGGATATCTGCCTGTTATTGAGATCGTTTCTTTACATTGTTTGCATATCGCACTGTCTTCGTTATTATCGAAATTTCCCCATATTTTTGACTTTTTTCGTAATTTATTCAACTCATCTTTACTTAGATTATCAAAATTTAAATGGCTTATGAAAGAATAAAAATAAAATGTAAATTAGTTATTTTTTTCACAATAAACTGTACACTTTATAATAATCTATTTCGTTAGTAGTTCCACCAAACCAAAATTATGGTAAAGTGCCATGGGGTGAACTAAAAAGAAAAGTATACTATTTTGCAAAATTCGCAGTAATTATTGCGTAATTATCAAAACCGTCTGCACGAATGAGCACACAAGCACCCTGGTGAAAATAAAAATTGGAGCGTAAATCGAACGTAAGGGGAGAGTGAAACAAGCGTAAACGAAATGTGTAGGAAGCGTAATTTGGGACAGCGAAGCGTAAAAGAAACTTCGAACGCTTCTTTTACGCTTCGCTGTTCCAAATTACGCTTCCTACACATTTCGTTTACGCTTCTGTCACTCTCCCCTTACATTCGATTTACGCTCCAAATTCTATTTTCACCAGGGGAGTAAAAGGCATGAAAAATGGTTTATTTGTTCAGATCTCCTAGGATCCGATAGCGAGCGGCGCTATCGGATCCTAGGAGATATAAACAAATAAATAATTTTGCATGTTTGCCAAGTCCTGTGAGCTTCTTCGCTCAGACGTTTTTGTTAATTACAATAATTATTGCGAATTGTGTAAAATGGTATATGACTTGTCAGTTTGAGCTAACCTACCATAATTTTTGATTTGGTTAATGGCGAAGTAGACACCTGTATATGTATACATATATTCACACTTTCCATAAATATTATTACACTATATTTATTTTAGATTTATCAATATTTCAAATGTTTCTGAGATGTATACATACTGGCAACGACGTAAGTGTTGGCTTAAATTTGCTATAGAACTTCCACGCTTTATTGCTAATATTTTTTTACATCCTTTACATGTTGCATCGTCATCTCTTACATCGAACTTGTCCCATACGTTTGATCTCTTTGGCATCACCTTATGTTTGTCCAGTTTATCATTTTTAAAGTGGCTTATGAAGGAATAAATATAAAATTAGATAAGATGTAAAGTAATTATTTTTATACAATAACTTTATATTACTATTATATGTATATATTTTCACTTTACATACATCTAATTCTATAATTATATTAATTTGGTATTCAGCAATGTTTCAATTGTTTCTATGCGTACTAACCCGCAATAAAGTAAGTGTTGGTGGAAACTTGTTGTTGAACGATTAGGATGCACTGTTACTACTTTTTTGCATCCTTTACACGTCGCCTTGTTGCCCGTTATATCGAACTTGTCCCATAAGTGCGACGTCTTTTTTATCTTATTTAAATTAGTTTTATCCGGGTCTTCATTTTTAAAGGGGCTAATGAAGGAATGAAGATGATAAGATGTAAAATTAATTATTACTTTGCAATAACTTTATATTGTCATTACATATTTACACTTTACATAGATATTATTTTCTGATTTTATTCACTTTGTACTCGTCAATATTTTAATGTTTCTCATGTGCCTACTTACCTACAATAACATAAGTGTTGAAATAAACTTGGTGCTGAACGTTTAGGATTTATTTTTATTACTCTTTTACATACTTTGCACGTCGCCTTATCTTCCGTTATATCGAACCTGTCCCATAGGTGTAATAGTCTTCGTATCTTATTTAAATTATTTTTAAAAAGATTAAAGAATTGAACACGATAATAAGATAAAATTATCTTTGCTTTCTCGTAGTAGAAAGCTCTGTTTTCTCGAAACCTTTTTCTAGTTTTCTTTGCCAATGTGTCGCACTCATCGCTTCTCTAAGCGTGTATAAACATGTTCGCACGTGTTTTGTTAACTAATTGTAAGATATTCGCGTTGCCCAACTTGCCTCTATGCTCAACTAGCCCCGCCCTACCCTACTTTTGAGGCGGGAATAACAGTGAATAAATTCAAAATCTACCGAAAGTTTTTTAAAGTACAGACTTCGCTCTTTAAAATAAAAGACTTTTTCAAATACAAGTTTTAATGGATTTATGCTCATGCTTAAATTTATGCGAAATTTTAACAGAAAATTAAAAAGCGCCTGTAAAAGTGGCTAACAAGCCTTCTAATTGTTTACAAGCCATTTTACAGGCGCTTTTATCGATAAAAGAGGATTCAGACACCGGCCTAGAAATACATTGGCATAGAAATATATATGTAAGAACAAAAGATGCAAATCGGAAATTTGCACCTTGCTTCCTCATCTGAGCAAGTTATTTGTTCAATTTTGGCTTGCTCATAAAGAAAGCTTGTGAGTTAAATAATAGAAATATAAAGCTCACAAACTTACTCCAGTAGGAAGACAAAATTGAAATAATTGTTCAGATGATAAAGAAGCAACGTACAAATTTCCCATTTTTACAATAACTTCATATTATCATACGAATTCGCAGTTTATTTCAGTTATTATTTCGTCGTTATAACTACATGTTTCAGACCTACCAATATTTTATTTATTTCTCATATGTGTACTTACCGACAAGAACGCAAGTGACAGATTAAATTTGGTCTCTTACTATTTGTATTTATTTTTATTGTCTCTCCACATTGTTTGCATGTCGCTTCATTGTTTCCTTCCTCGAAATTGTCCCATATAAATGATCTTTTCTTCTCTATTTTATCCGAGTGCATAACTTGTAAATGCATTATTAAATTATGCACGCCATTAATTGCAAGATTACTTTCTCTCTTACAATGGTTACATTTTGCCGTTAGACATGTTATTTTGTAATGTTGCTGTATGTTGTCACGTTCTTCGTGTTCATTTAATTCTGTTATTTCATGGTCATCATATAAGTGATACTTCAAGATTTGCAGTCTGTGGTTATTAGAAAAAATTTCTTCACAACAATTACACTTTACTGTGTCAGAAGTTTCTTTCGTGTAATGTTTCCACATCCATTCTTCAATTTCCGTCATTTTAGATGTTCTATGTTACACAGCGTTTGACACTAAACGTGACACCTTACTGAAATTATTAGAAAAACATTTGCGAAGTTAGACATAAAATGTCGAAGAAAAAAATATGATCCCTCGTCGAAATATAGAATAAGTTGGGAAAATATTTTTTTTAATTTACCCTCTCACGGGAACGCCTTTTAACCCTTAGGTTATATCAGCGTATAATGTTTCTAAAAGTTCCTTGAAATTTACGTGCTTGGTCAAACTGGTCGAACTTGGTCACACTGAATCCAACACTAGGCGCTTAAACTCCTTCAAGCACTGAATTTTTGAAGCATCCCTTAATAGGAAAATACGCAGGACGAGGGCCAGGATCGAACCGAGGACTCTACCATTACCAGAGAGAAGCCTGAGGGCTGAGAGACCCTGGCCTGGCCCTGCGCTAATTACAGAAAAACGATTCCAGCGAACTCTGTTGGATGTACATGAACTTCACGTATGAAATTTCCAAAATCAATAATATTGAGATTATCTTTTTTGTACATACATACAACAATTATTTGTTTATTCTATTGTTCACTTATTTTCTAACAATATATTCACGAAGCATAAAATTTTTAAAAACCAATACGAATATCTCAGCGGATTTGAAATCTATGATTTCTTTCCTGTTATCTGCAAGTCACTTTTATATCAGATTTGCGGAGATAACTTTAAGTTTTAAATAAAAGTTATCAGTCATTGTAACGTTTATATGTTAGCAAGCTTTACTATATTTCTGTTAGTGTTCTTCCAGTATTATGTAATTCATCAAAGTCGACATAAAATCTCTTTTGTAAGAAACAACTCGTCCCAGTATTTTTTTCAGGATCAATTGAGATAGAGATCTTTAATATACATTTCAGTATATTCTCGCTTGGCTTTGTAGTGCTTTGTAGCTGTCAGTGCGAATAAATAAATGATTTGCAATTTAGTAATATACATTTGTATACACCAACTATTGAGGTAAAATCTTTAATCTTAGTAATTAGAATTTAATAACAACGATTTTTGTTTCGAAACATTTTCTCGATTCAACAGAATTAATCGTTAATTTAATCAATACCAATAAGTCCGCGGAATAATACGCAAAACGTAGCAACAGTCACGGAACAAAGTAATGTACAATAAAATATTAAGTACGGAATTTTCCATTGCGTAGGCAGGCCAACGAATTCTCAGCGTTTTTTTCTTGTTTTTCACTCGGCGCGGTATCGTACGACGATTAAGCGGGCCGACGAATTCTCAACGTTTTTCTGTTGTTTTTCACTCGGCGCGGTGACGTACGATGTTTTTGCGTGCCATCATGTATCTGAAGGTCGCTGCGCTCTCACTCGCTCGCCGAACGTTGAGCCGGTAGACAGTGGCGAGAGTCGCTCCGTGCGTGCTATTACTTTTGCGTTATCGGTTTCCAAGACTCGATCGCGACGAATGTAGGGATAAAACGCTATCGATTTGTACATCTTTATCAGTAACGAGTAACATTCCTCGATTATTAAGTTCTTACAACTTGTAATGAGACTTGTGCGTGAAATTTGTGTGTGATTTCGGCGTTCGCGCTGTAATTCGCTCTGTCGTTTTTCAATATTTCGTGCGTTTCGCGGTATCTCACATCGCGTACGGGAGTGCCGAAATTTCGCGCGATCGATGATTTTCGCGAGTGAGTGTTGTGTTAGTGCAACAAGGAAATCTGAGAGGAGGAGGAGGTCTTGACTCTTGAGGCATCGGGCAACGGCGGAGAAATCGTAAGGTAAGTGTCTTACATTTTTGTTATTTGCTACTTGTGCAAAATGAAGCATCTGTTCTGTGCTTTTATTTTATTTATTCAAATGATTCGAACGAGGATTCGAATATGTGTTAGAGACAAAACCATACGTATAAAATTTTGTGAGTTCATATTTAAAAGGAAGACTTTCAGTGTTCCATATAATTATATTTTAATAAATACCTATCTTTTTAATATAAAATAGAAAGTATATTTAATACAATAATTCGATTATTGTATTAATTTAATACATCGTCGCTATACGTTTCCCCGCTTCTCTACGCATTGCATTAGTATCTTCTCTTCACGAATAACGGACGCATGAGCTTAACACATCTTAAAAATAATTCAAGTAAAAATTCGCAACATATTGTAACTTCAAAGTGTTGCAGCTGTCAAAGTGGTCGATCAATATCAGTTGCCATAAAGGTTGTTACTATGCTTAAAAAAGGCTACATTTATAGAAAAAAGCGATTTCGAAACAGCCAATCAATCAATCGGCGTCGCGGAAAAGCGGCAACAATACGACGCGATATAGCGCAACCTTCTCGCGTCTACATGACTTTTTCACTAGGGATTTTTTCACTAGGGATACGAAAAAAAAACGAGAACACAATGAGCATCTAAATATCTTAGTATTTCCAAAAGACTAATTACCATTCAAGACAAAGTTAGGAACAGGATATTAATATACATTTACACGTATTTGTTTATTTTTTATTTCTAAAAAACATTTTTGCGGAACAAATGTTTTATACAATTTGTTCACTGATACATTTAATACATCCTTTCATATATTTCTTATCTTTCTATTCACATTCGTATTTATAAAATGTCGCATATTTTGTACATAAATTAAAGATGCACTATATGTAAAGAATTGTATGATTGAAAAATATATTGTAAATAATGCAAATATATGTTCATTTCACACATATTTATTATTTACTATTAAAAAGAATGTGATATAAAATTCTTTGAAAATTTTAATTTCATCACTGTAATTTAAGAAGAGACTAAGATATCTCTCTCGATCGTTGTTATATGTATTTTTGTCACGTAAAGACAAACTGTTTATGTAAAAAAAATAAATTTAAACGATGAAGTTATTTAACCATGAAAGCCACACAAACGACAGAGTGAAGCACGCCATGACGCAAACTTTAAGATAAATTGGCATCATGGAAAAGAGGTCTCAGAGCTTCGATACAAATGAAACTCAAGGCTAGTTTATGGAGGCCATAACCATTAATTTACACCAGAATTGGTCAAATTCCTCATTGAGATTTCAATGCTTTTGTTCGAGAATTATGAACAAAAGAATTGAAATCTCAAAGCTAGTTCCAGCATAAGTAAACGGTTACGGTCTCCAGAAACTAGCCTTCGCTTAGTTAACATCCCTCCCCTTTCTTAGGGGGGGAATACTTTAAATAAATCACATAATAGTTATCACATTTAGTTATCATATACGGTTCCTTATAACATCCTAATATTGAGATATACAGGGTGTAAACTAATTCGCGCCTACTATTTATACAGTCATTTTCCTCTTGAAAAACTGAAAACTCAAAAAGTTCCGAACTATTTTTTTAATTATGCTTTATAAAATAGTTATTATTATATATATTTCAAAAATTAACTGATCAGTATCGCTTTTTAGATAGACGCGCGTTCGTGAGCCGCGCATCTACTAGTGTGTGTGAAGTGAAGCGTATGCCTTAACGATGTTCAGTTACCCTGTATATATTTCTATCAAGTTTCAAAGCTATAATATTTTTCAGGATAAAATTTTTTAAGTTTAGCTGAATGTCGAGGTTACAATACTTTTAAATCACTCACTTCTTCTTTGGTTCAAAATATATGTATAACTCGACAACTCCTCATTTTTAACCAGACTTATCAAATTTTATACACGAATAAATAAATTTTCAATACAATGTAATATATAATTTATAATATACATATAATATTATAATATATTATTCTAACGGCAAATATATACAATTTAAATACTTTGAGTTTTTAACTTCTTCTCCAAGGCATCGTCTTAAACATTGAAATATTCTTTGAGTTTTGTATTAAAAAATTGAGACTAATTGTAAGTTGAAAGTCTTTAGGAATGTTAAGAAAGAAATTTAACTTCAATCTCACATATGATTTCTCACCCATCAGACGTCTTGAGCAATACTGTATAAGTATAATAAAATAAATCACAAAATTTCTTAACTAGTTAGAACACACATACGAACGCACTCGCGCACATTGTAAGCAACCACACATACAAACATGTACAATATACACATATAATGTTCGATAATAGGTGCGAATTTATAAATTGGTAAAATAAAAATTTTAATGAAAAAATTGCACACCATTTTACAATTATTTAAATTATTATCTCGAAAGTAGGAGTCGGTGTGGCATGGGACTCGCTTCGCGCAAAAAATCGAAAACCCATGTCGTACTCCAACTTAATTTCCAGTGGCAGAAAACTGAACATCATTTTTGTGTGTAATTTCTTTTCTTTATAACTTTTTAATAAATTATGAGCAACGGGGATCATCAATAACCTTCACCTCCTTAGAAATTAAGATCAACAGCCAGATCAATCAGAAATCAATTGGTGAAAAGTAACCAAGCGGAAATATTTTTCAAATATGGTTGTCTTGATACTATTAATTTAAATTAATAAATGTTTGATAGTGAATCACAAATAACAAATTAAAAAATGTTTGATAACGAATAAATCATCAATAGTAGGGCATATACTTGCAATTAGTGCCAACGGTTTTTACCAAATGTATTTCATTGATGATTAAAGCATTATTGTAAACATTTAATTTTAATATTTCTCTATGCGTATTGCATGATACAAGTAAAAAATATAATTACTTAAAATTAAAGTCTCTCCTTTCTATTTCTTGTTGTAGCAGCTTTGTGTGGTCAAATGTTTATATTCCATTCGGAAAATGCATAATGTCTTGAAGGTCTTTGTCTCCTAGCGATATTTAAATGCGCGGTACATTTCTGCATTCATAAAGAACGATTAAAAGAATAGAAAATATAATGAAGGAATTAATATTTAATTAATTGATTTTAAAGGATACAATTATGCATTACTCACAAACAACGTCCAATTTTCCCAATTCAATCAATCTCCTAAACTTGTAGTATAGTTTTCCTCCTCCCTTGAATTTCATTGAAACTTTATACAAATCCTTATCAACTTTTGAATTTGAAAAAGATCTGCAATTATCAAAAGAGTGATTAACAAACTAGAAAGTGCGATACAATAATACAAAATCACAAAAATAAGGTTGTGTATACATATATATGTATATATATACAATTTGAGTATACTAATAAAATAAATACATATATTCTTAGATGTTTTTAATAGCAAATAACAGATAAAAAATATTTGTTCAAGAATAAATTTTTAATAGCGACACACTCTTGACGTCAATATTTTCTACACAAAGCTCATTACATGGATAGATAATTAAAACGTTATTATGAAGATTTAAGTTCAACGTTTCCTTATGTAAGTTGTACAATGCAAGTAAAACGTATAATTACCCAAAATTGACGTCCTTTCTTTCCATTTCCTGTTGTGGCAGTTTTGTCTTTTTGTAAGTTTGTAACTTTGTCTTTTTGGACGTTTGTAACTTTGTCTTTTTAAAAGTTCGTAACTTTGTCTTTTTTGAAGTTTGTCTGCTTTGAAGTTGCACAGTATTATCAAAATTTTCGTCTTCCGATGATTCTGAAGTAGATGCTTGCCATGATACTTGCCTGCATTTATACAAAGAGAGATTACAAGGCTAGAAATGAATAGTAATGAAGCAATTAATATTTAAAATAATACATTACTTATAAACAATATCCGTTCTTCGTTTCCTCAAATTATATAATTTTGCTTTTGCCTCCAATTTAATTGAAATTTCATGCAAAGTCTCCTCAGGTTCTGAACTTGAAACCCTACAATTATACAAATACCTATAGTTATATCTTACATCCAAGACAATTTTGAATTCATCTAAAGATGTTGTATGGAACATTTTATTGGCTACGGGATATCTGAAAATGATCTTGAGATGATCTAAAAATATAAAATCTGACTACTAACAAAATAGAAAGTGCAATGCAATAATTTTGAGTTTTAAATATTAAATGCATATATTAGTATACTATTCAGTTAGAAGCTTTATATTTTAATTTTAAATAAATAATAATACATTTAAAATAAAAAATATTTTATTAACAAATTAGCGAATAAACATCTGCGAATGGGTTTAACCGATTCAGAGACAAGAAACAACTAAACTTAATGCATTGTTTGTAGTTGCTGAATACGCACTCCTCCCAATGACATGCTTGTAGTAATTTCTATCATCCTGTGATACTGACTTGTCTCTTCTCGCCAAATTACACCGATACTGTCTTACACAATTTTATTAATCTATTTTTCTTTAAGAATTCCGAAATTAAACTTAAGGACTTCTTTACTTAGCTAACACCTTCTGTTCATAAGCAGTGCTACATATTTTTAGATACCCTGTGTATTTGCATTGTGGTTTGCTAGTAATAATAGCACATGGTTTTGATAGTAAATAGCAGATATAAAAAAAGATTTGTTTATGAATAAATCTTATAGAGCGGCACCCTTGACGCCAACATTTTCTGCACCCATTACGCGGATAACTTAAAGTGCTATTGTGAACATTCAGTTTTAACATTCGCTTGCGTAAGTTGTATAATGAAAGTGAAAAGGATAATTACTCAATCTCGGCTTTCTTTCTTTTCCTCCTTCGTCGTGGCCGTTTCATCTGATTGGAAGTTTGTATTCTACTTTGAGCTTGCACACTATTATCAAGATATTCGTCTTTTGGTGACTCTGAGGTATTCGATGCTTGTCTGCATTTATACAAAGAAATATTCAACAGGTAGAAACAGTAGTAAAGAAATTATAATGTTAAAATAACACATTTCTTATCGCCAACGTACATAAGTTTAGAAATAATAAGAAGAATAAATATGGTTTGGACAAAAAAATTTTTTTTAATGTTTGGCAAATAAAAAATGTTCGTTCAAGTTTGTTCATGAATAAATCTTCACTAGTGCCACACACGGAGCCAACATTTTCTGCACAATATTTTTACGTTGATACATTAACATATATTGCAAACATTTAATTTTAATACTTCCTTATAACATTAAAAATGTAAGTAAAAAAATGTAATTACTTGAAATTGACGTTTCTTCTCTTCCTTCTTCGTTGTGGCAGTTTTATCTGTTTGGAAGTTTGTACTCCACTTTGAACTTGCGTAGTATTATCAAGATGCTCGTCTTTTGATAATTCTGAGATATTTGATGCTTGCCTACATTTATACAAAAAGAGTTTAATTGTGTAAAAACATTAATAAAGCACTTATAATATTAAAATAATACACTACTTATCAGCAACGTACACAACTGTATTTATAATAACAAGAATAAATATACAGGTAGTTTTGATTTTAAAAACTTTTTACTGTGTAAAATGTTCATAAATAAATTAGTCATGTCACACTTGTCATCACCTTTTTCTTAGTAATGAATTTCATGTTGATATTATACGTTAAAGTGTATTGTGGAAATTTTATGTTAATACTTCTTTATTAATGGGTTTTACGTTGTAAAATAAAAGAAAAGTGCACTCACTTGATGTCCTTTGTGTTCTTTTCTTGTTCTGACAGTTTTGTCTCTTTGAAAGTTTGTATTTCAACGATGTTCTGTATGTCTATTTCTTCTTCGTATAATGTTGTCTTTTCCGAAGTTTGTATTTCACTTTGAACTTGCACAGTATTATTAAGATGGCTATCTTTTGGTGACTCTGAGGTGTTCAATGCTTGTCTGCATTTCAACAAAGAAAAATTATAATAAAGCAACTATAATATTAAAATAATTATTGCTTATTAACAATGTACATAACGTCTTTACAATAACAATAATAAATGTGGTTCAGATGAAAAAATTTTTTTCTAACATTTGCCAAATAAAAAATATTTGTTCATGAATAAATCTTTAGTAGTGTCAAACGTTGCTCAACAGTTCACCACAATATGCTTTACGTTGATACATTAAACTATATGTAAACATTTAATTTCAACGCTTTTCTTGTACCATATACAGGGTGAGTTATAACATTTGTCCACGAGCTCGTGAGAAGGTAGAACGGATCGAGATGAACAGAAAA